TCTCTGGTGGAGGGCTGGCCTTGGAATCTGGGTAAAAGTTACTGCTGGACACTTGTGGGCCACTCTTTTCTCCATCTTTCTGCTGTCAAAGCAGATGATGGTTGCAAGAAATGCTTTTTCTAATGAAGATTTTTTTAAACAAGTAAATTGTCCAGACAGGGGTAATATGCTGCTAATAATACTTTAACACTTAATAAGAACCCTGGACATCTGAGAAATCAATCAGGAAACGATTTTTTTCCAACCATAGATCTCCAAATCAGCTGCAATATAGTCCTTGTAAATCCCACTACAAGCATTAAGGAACTTATTTCTTTTTGTTATATCTCTCTCCACTCTATTTTACCTCATCTCTGGGTAGAAAATTCTGGTCCTGACATCTGTTTTGGGTTGAATATTCTGGGTCTGTGGAGAGAACATGCTGGTCTTTGGGCAGAAAATCCTGGTCCTCACATTTGGGTAGAATATTCTGGTCTTCAGTTAGAAAATGATGGTCCTGATATGTGGGTAGAATATTCTGGTCTTTGGGGAAAACATGCTGGTCTCTGGGTAAAGCACATTGGTCTTTGGGTAGAAAATCCTGTTCTGGACATTCAAGTAGAATATTCTGGTCTTTGGGTGAAAAATCCTCATCTGTGTGTAGAAAAGCCTGGTTTTGGGGTAGAAAATCTTGGCCTTCCAAAACAATATTCCCCTCTTCTAGTTCAACACTCTGGGTTTTCAGCAGAACACTCCGAGTTCTTGTCTTAACAGCCTGGGCTTTGAGCTTAACTGCTTGGCCTTCCAGCTCCATATCCTGGGTACTGGGTCTTGGCTCAACACTCCAGGCTTCCAGTTCAACACTCTGGATGTCTATCAAATCACCCTGGGGTTGCAGCAGATCTCCTTGGGCTTCTGGAAGATAATCCTGGGCTTTTGGCAAAATATCCTGATGTAACTGCTCTACCTCCTTCTCTTCTGTCATAGCAGATAATGGATTTTTGAATTGTACTTTCTAAAAGTGAACATAAACGTCAAATATAGAAGGCCAGGTAGTAGCAGCAACACTCTAGGTTTTTTGCAAGATTCCTAAAATAATCTTAAAAGAATATGGTAGTCAAACAAATTACCAGAATAAAATGCAAAATTAGTCTTTGTTCAACCCAACAGAACCTAAATCTACAATCCGAAACCAGTACAAGAATGTCAGATCTCTAGTCCAAATCATAATTAGTTTAATTTCTATTACACTAATTACACTACTATTCTATTATACTATCTCACTCTGCTTTACCTGAACTCTGTTGAAAGTTATATCCTTGTCTTCAGAAAGGAGATCCTGCTGGTAACCCCAAGACAAATTCTCTTTCCCTTTCTTATCTATCATAATAGATGGAGATTCTTCAGAGTCAGATTCCTAAGGAACAGACAAACAAAAATAGGAAAGAAAAATCCAGATGTATCTCTAGAGGTAGAAACAATGTGATTGTAATATAATCCTAGGCCTCAGCACACTACTAATATAATTTCAGTAGGTCATTATAGTCAAATATAAAAACAGGACATCGCAAAAGAAGTACAAGACTGTACACTGAAAACTACAAAATGCTGTTGAAAGAAATCAAAGAAAGACTTCCCCTGCATGGTCATGGATCTCAGAAGACAGTATTGTTAAGATAGCAATTCTCATATTTACAGTCAGTTGATTTTCAACAAGGGTACCAAGACAATCCAATAAGAAAGAATAGTTTTTTTTCAATAAATGGTGTTGGGACAAGTGGATATCCACATGCAAAAGAATTTTAAGTTAGAACTCTTCCTCACACCATACACAAAAATTAACTCCAAATAGTTAGACCTAAACACAAGAGCTAAAATAATAAAATGTTTAGAAGCACATATAGGAGGAGTTTAACATTCATTAAACTACACCAAAACTTAAAATTTTGGGCTACAAATGATGGCACTAAGAAAGTAAAATGACAACCCACAGAATGGGAGAAAATATTTGCAAATCATGTACCTAATAAGGAACTTGAATCCAGAATATACAAACAATTCTTATAACTTGATAACAAGATGACAAATAACCCAATTAAAGAATGGACACTACCTTTGAACAGATATTCTCTCCATGAGAGATATATAAATGGGCAATAAGCACATGAAAAGATACTCAAGATCATTAGTCATCTGGAAAATATACATCAAAAGTACAGTGAGATACCACTTCACACCCACTAAGATGGCTATGATGAAAAAGATGGGCAAGAGCAGGTATTGAAGAGGATGTGGAGAAACTGGAGCCCTCACATGCTGCTGATGGAAAATAGCTTGGTAGTACCTCAAAACATTAAACAGAGTTACCATATGACCTAGAAATTCCACTACTTGAGAAATGAATGTCTACACAAAAACATGTACACAACTGCTTATAGAACAATTATTCATAAAAGCCAAGGAGCAGAAACAACCCAATGTCCATCAACTAATGAATGGATATACCAAGTGTGTTATACTAACATACTGATACATTCTACAATGTGAACTTTGAATACATTATGCAAAGTGAAAGAAGTCAGTCACAGAAGATTCTATATTATATGATTCCATTTATATGAAATGCCCAGAATAAGTACATCTACAGAGACAGAAAGTAGATTAGTAGTTGCTTAGTACTTGGGGTAGGGACAAGGAGGGACTAGGGAGTGACAGTTAATGAGTATAGGGTTTCTTTTAAGGGTGAAGGAAATCTTCTAAATTAGATTGTGGTGATGGTTGCACAACCCTGTGAATATACTGAAAACCTCTGAATTGTATAATTTAAATGGGTGAATTGTGTGGCATGTGAATTGTATCTCAATAAAACTGTTAGAAAAAAACAATTATTGGCATTATAATCTTACTCCTTAAGCCCATCCTTAATTAGCTGTGGATAGTTCTAACAAGGCAATTTTTCCCCTCTGCTCTTTTTATTTCCCTACCTGATCTTCCGTAAATTTCTGGTCATGTACAGGAGTTAAAAGATCTTGTTGGACCTCAAAGGGTGATTTTCCACTTGTTCCTATATTTATCTTGATGAATGCTGGTTTCCTACAAGGTACTTCCTGAAAAAAAGAAAAATCAGTGCAAATATAAATGGTCTACAGAAAGTACTATGCTCATGATACTAAACTGAGTTTTTATGAAAGCTGGAGCAGTCTTAGCAGGTTATGTAAGTCTAATACAGAACAGTGAGTTCTATTCTGCACACAAATCACCTACATATCAAACATATGGAGTGAAATGGGCCAGTAGGAGAATATGTTAACTTTATAAATGACAATTTGCCCCTATCCTAGCCAGTAACAATTTCAGAAGGCTTATAATTTTGACTTGGCAATCTAACAGTGGGCATGCAAATATATCATCTATGTGCATCTCCAAATCTGGAACAACAATAACAACCAGACAGATTCTAATGTCAGTAAGAGCAATTCTAAAAAGAAAATGAAACCAGAGTTCAACTGGGTTATAGATTTTTCTCTTTCTGACTGGCAGGTTCCTCCTTCACACAAATGTGTCGGTAGAAAACTATTCAAATTTGAAGGAAAGACTACATAATTAACATAAGTAATAAAGTTTTCACTAATTTCTTAGATCATTCTCAATTTTATAGAGTAGATTTGTTTCTGATGTTTTACCTGAAAAACACACATGCATTCTTTGGAAGCAAGCAGCTAGTCTGAATTCATCATCATCATCATAATGAATTACACTTAAATGGCACCTTTGACGTATAAAACTGGTTTATACCAGGATGTTATCTCAGACTTAATCCTCCTGCCTTCTACTGGATAACTATTTCAGTCAAACCTAGGAATAGTACTCTTTCAGGAAAAACATGAATTGAAAGGTCTGAATATGATCTGCACAACATAAAATACTAGTCTCTAGGATCTGATAACCCTTTCTTTTCTGGTTTAATTAGATTGTATTCAATCACCTCCCTTTCCAGCGGTACTGGGAAGTCAGTCTAATAGCCCAAATTACAGTATGCAAAATCCATGGCAGAGGTATGAAAATTGTCAAGAAACCAAGCCAAGAATTTAGCTACAAAAGAAACTCTGTCTTGAGTCACACAAGGCAATCCTAGAAAAAGGTAACCAAACTGAATGGATCTAAGATAGAATGCTATATGTGGACACACCCATGCTCACTTGCTTTTTACATTTAACTATAAATTTCTTAATTATCATTGAAAAGGAAGACATTATAGTTTAGTATTCTACAAGCTGCAAACATATAAGCGACAAACGTTTTTGATGGTTATATTGAGATACTTAGGTAAAAAACACAAAAATAAAATATATACTTGTATATAAATATAGTAAAATGTTTTTTAAAAAACACCCAACTAGGAAGCAAAACTGAGAAAGAACTAAACAAGAAATAGTTGATGATAAAAAAAAAGAGTAAAAAAGACTAATTAATGTCCCATTTTACTAGATGTTACCTATCAAGACTTGAAATTAATGCCAAAAATTAAGTAAACACAGGAAAATACATGAGTTTAGCATCCAAATTTGTGAACATGGAAATAAGGAGGCACCAAAACAATGTCATTTTCAAGCACAGCTTAAATATTCCTTAAGTCTAACTCCACATTTAAGTTCTAATTATTCACTCTAACCATATTCTATATTTTGAAACAAAAGAATTTCTTTATTTTTAAAAAATAATGCTACTGATTTCTTCCCGATTAAGAAGTAAAATACATACCTTATGGAAAACTTCTAAAGTAAAGGAAATCAAGAGAAGAAAATAAAAATCACCTGTAGTATCACTGCCCAGAAATAATCAGTATTAACCTCTTGGTGTATTTCTTTCCAGGCTTTTGTCTGTGCACACAGCATTCTCTCCCCTATATTTTGCTTCATTTTCTTCATAGCGCTTATCATTTGACATTCTGTATTTATCTGCTTATTCATTATATGCTTCCCTACTGGCAGAGATGCTCCTTGAGAATCTTTGTCTTTTCACCACTGCTAAGTCCTGCTTCTACAACAATGCCTGGCAACTGTAGACATTCCATAAATATTTATTGAATGATTTTTTTAATTGAGATATTATATCTAATTTTATATCCTACTTTTTTCACTTAACTTTTATGTCACAGACATGTTCCCTTGTCTTCAGATATTCTTTGAATGACGATATTTTTGATAATAGCTATAAATGGATATGTCATAATTTTTAAACCACTTCCTACTATTACATAATTAAGATTATTTCCAGTTAGTTTTCAGTTCTAAATAGTGTTGAGATATAAACAAACCTTTATCTCTATTTTTATCTGTATTTTTAGAAATAATTCATTAGAACTGAATTTACCTCTTGGGTGGGAAAGCTTTTCTTTCTGTCATCTGGAAACACTGGTGCATTTTTTTTATTCACAGTTTTAAAAGATGCCAGCTGGTGACGTGCTTGTTTCATGGTTTGACTAAGCTGCCAAGGAAAGGGGAAAAAAAGAAAACAAAAACAGGCTAAAGCCTTAATACCAATATCATTAAGTGTTCCAACAGGAAAACAGGCCCCTATTATTAAAAAATGCCAGGCCAAAGACAAGAGGATTACTTGCAAAGGAGACTTTCTGATCTGCTGATAAGTGTTCTTACAACATTATTTTCATTATTCTAAGAGACTGAATTTCATAACTTGATTTCAGTGTTGTTACTCAAATCATTTTTTATAATGTATGATTTTTTCTAAAAGAAACAAAATAACTTTATTGAAGTTTAACTTGCATAAAGTAAAATGCACTAATTTTAACTGTACAGTTTGATGAACTTTGACAAATGTATACATTTAAGTAAACACCATCACAATCAAGATGTAAAACATTTCTACAGCCCCCAAAATATTCCCTCATATTCCCTTTGCAATCAATACCCCATCACCCATAAAACTAGGCAAAAAAAAGTAGCATATATTTTTCTTTTATAGAATTTTATATAAATGAAAGAAAGATCAAGTACTCTTATGCTACCAGCTTCTTTGCTTAGCATAATGTTTTTGAGATTTATCCATTTTGTATACAGCATATAGTTTTTAAAAAATGCTAAACAATATTCTATTCTATGGATATACCAAAATTTGCTTATCCATTCTGCTATTGTTACAACTTTTAGGTTGTTTCCAGTTTTGATCTATTATAAAACTGGTAAACTGAACTTCATCAAAAGGAAAAACTTCTGCTCTTCAAAAGATTCCATTATAACAATGAAAAGGCAAGACACAAGAAAAATTTCATAGCACATATATGTGACAAAGGACTAATACACAGATTAATTAAAGAATGTCTCCTGGCCAATAAGGCAACCAACCAGTTTTTCACATGGCAATGTATTTGAACAGATACTTGACAAAATAAGATATAAAATCTCAAATAAATGAAAATATGTTTAACAGCATTTGTCCTGAAGAAAATTTAGGTTAAAACTACCATGAGATACCACTACATATCCACTAGAATGGCAAACATTTAAAAGATTGACTATATTAGTTGTTAAGATATGGAGCGACTGGAATTCTCATGTATGGCTGGGGTTACATAAAATGTTGTAACTACTCTGGAAATAGTTTGGCAGATTTTTAAAAAGTTAAACATACATTTATTATATTACCCAGCATATTACTCTTAGGTATTTATCTAAGAAAAATGAGAACGTATTTCCATAAAAACAGTTGTACATAAATGGCCATAGTGATTTTATTTATAATAGATCAAAATAATGTATGCTTTATATTAAGTACGTACACAAAAATATCAGAACCTAGAAGTCTGAATTTGGAAATTACTGACCAACACATTCTTTACCTTGTATCCATCTTCTTAATAGAGTTCTTCAACTGGTCCTTGTGTGCCTAATGACTTTCATCACTCCTTGTAAGAAGACTCTATTCCTAGTCCCCCTAAAATCCTTTTTTCCTATTTACATGACTCCCTTCTTCACTTGGAACATTTGAAGACTCTAACTATTTAGCCTTTTCTCAAATCTCTCTTCCAGGAAGGCTTTCTAAGTTAATCTAAGACACAAATTCAAACATTTCAACAGAAATGTTTCAAGTACTCTGAGTAACAATTGATAACAGATGTTAATATTAAATACGTTAACTTTGGTTCATTTCTTATCTCCACCTAGCAATTTCAGTTAAGCACCTATTTCAATTCATTTTTCAGAAATACAGCTTATTTTACATTTCACAAATTTGTACAGAATGTTCCTTTAAGGAAAATACAGAAATAAGCAAAGTACCATTTTTTTAGGCTAAGTACTACATGTGGAAGAAACACATATCCCCATACTACTCAATCAAATTACAGTAAAGTCAGGACCAGTTCTAACCCACCCAGTGTAAGTTTAATGATATCAATTCTCCCTTGAAGGGAAATGATTATGATTGAAGTAACAAACATTTTATGATTTTTACTATAGTGAGCTAGAGATTAAAAACACACTCTCTTGCTACCAGCCCAGTTTCCTTTCAGCATCTCACCTCTTTTTTGTCCTTGCTTTTAGAAGCTCTATACCTCAAGCCAGAGAAGTCAGCTTGAAACACTACTCTTTATTCTACCAAGAGGAAAGCTTCTAAATTTGGTTAGCACAGGGTGGCTAAAGGGGTCAAGACAGAGTTAATCACAGTGCAAAAAGAGACAGTCTATCTGCAGTTGAAGTTATGAAAAAGTACAGAGCCATGAACGTGCCTGCTTTTACTCATTGCCAAGTACGATAGACATTATTGCCCTGCACACTGTGACCAAGGATTCAAAATACCTGTTATAACAGATATAAAATAAGAGTACATTTTAAAATATTTTTAACTGAAGTAAAATCAGTTTACAATGTTGTGTTAATTTCTGGTGTACAGCATAGTGATGCACTTAGACTATACATATACATATATTGTTTATATATATGTATGCTCATATATATACACACTTATATTCGTTTTCATATTCTTTTTCATTATAGGTTACTACAAGATATTGAATAAAGTTCCCCGTGCTGTACAGTATAAACTTGTTGTTTATCTATTTTATATATAGTAGTTAGTATCTCCAAATCTTAAACTTCCCACCCCTTTCCCCCTGGTAACTGTAAGTTTGTTTTCTATGTCTATGAGTCTGTGCCTGTTTTGTAAATAAGATCATTTGTGTAATTTTTTTTAGATTCCACATATAAGTGATATCATATGGTATTTTTCTTTCTCTATTGGTTTACTTAGTATGACGAGCTCTAGGTCCTATCCATGTTGCTGCAAATGGCATTATTTTATTTATTTTTATAGCTGCATAGTATTCCATTGTATATAGATATACCACAACTTCTTTATCTAGTCATCTGTCAATGGACATTTAAGTTGCTTCCATGTCTTGGCTACTGTAAATAGTACTGCAGTGAACACTGAGATGCATGTATCTTTTAGAATTTCCTCCAGATATATGCCCAGGAGTTGGACTGCTGGATCATAAGTCTATTTTTAGTATTTTAAGGAATCATTATACTGTTTTCCATAGTGGCTGCACCAAACTACATTCCCACCAGCAGTGTAGGAGGATTCCCCTCTCTCCACACCCTCTCCAGCATTTATTGTTTGTGGATTTTTTTAATGGCGGCCATTCTGACTGGTGTGAGGTGATACCTCATTGTAGTTTTGATTTACACTTCTTTGATAATTAGTGATATTGAGCATTTTTTCATGAGCCTATTGGCCATTTGCATGTATGCACTAGAGAAATGTTTGTTTTGGTCTTCTGTTCATTTTTGGATTGAGTTGTATGAGTTTGAATATCCTGGAAATTGAGCCTTTGTCAGTCACATCATTTGCAAATATTTCCCCCCATTCCATAGGTTGTCTTTTCATTTTATTTATGGTTTCCTTTGCTGTGCAAAAGCTTGTAAGTTTGATTAGGTCCCATTTGTTTATTTTTGCTTTTATTTCTATTGCTTTGGTAGAATGCCCTAGGAAAATACTGCTACAATTTATATCAGAGAATGTTCTGCCTGCATTCTCTTCTAGGAGGTTTATGGTGTCTTGTCTTATGTTTAAGTCTTTAAGCCATTTTGAGTTTACTTTTGTATACAGCATGAGAAAGTGTTCTAATTTTGCTGACTTACATATGGCTGTCCAGCTTTCCCAAAACCATCTGTCAAAGAGACTGCCTTTTCTCCATTGCATATTCTTGCCTCCTTTGTCAAAGATTAGTTGATCATAGGTGCACGGGTTTATTTCTGGGCTCTCTATTCTGATTCAATGACCCATATGTCCGTTTTTGTGCCAATACCATGCTGTTTTGATTACTGTAGCTTTGTAGTATTGTCAAAATCTCAGAGTGTTATTCTTCCAGATTTGTTCTTTTTCTTCAGTATTGCTGTGGCAAGTCTGAGTCTTTTATGATTCCATATAAATTTTAGGATTATTTATTCTATTTCATGAAAAATGTTCTAGGTAATTTCATAGGGATTGCATTAAATCTGTAGATTGCTTTGGGTTGTACGGCCAATTTAACAATATTAATTCTTCCAATCCAAGAGCAGGGGGTATCTTTCAATTTCTTTAAATCATCTTTACTTTCCTTAATCAATGTTTTAAGGTTGTCTGCATATAAGTCTTTCACCTTCTTGGTCAAGTTTATTTCTAAGCTTTTTTTTTTTTAATGTGAGTTTAAAAGAGATTTTTTTTTTAAACTTTCCTTTCCTGGTATTTCATTGTTACTGTAAAGAAATATAATAGATTTCTGTATGTTAATCTTGTATCCTGCTACCTTGCTGAATTTGTTTATCAGGTCTAGTAGTTTTCGTGTGGTGTCTTTAGGATTTTCCATATATAGTATATGTCATCTGCATATAGTGACAATTTTACCTCTTCTCTTCCAGTTTGGATCCCTTTTATTTCTTTTTCTTGCCTGACTGCTATGGCTAGGACTTCTAAAAGCAAGGATAAAACGGAGGTGATTTGCTATAAGGAAACTGGGCTGGTAGTGAAAGAGTGTGTTTTTATCTCTAACTCACTATTAGTAAAAATCATAAAGTATTTGTTATTTATATCTGTAAATTATAGTCATTTCCCATCAAGTCCAAACCTCTATTAGAGTCACAGACTGATTTTAGTCCCTCAAACAGGATATTTCAATTGGTCCAGCATTTGGACTATACATTACATTCAATCTGTTCCTCTGTCATTACCATAACCCTTTATCAAATCAACCCAAATGCCTTTTTAATGACCTACTATGAGGACTGTAATAGGCTGAATAATGGCCAAAGATATCAGGTCTTAATCCCTGAAACCTGTAAATATTACTTTATAAGGAAAAGGGGCCTTTGTATATATGACTAAGTTAAAGATCTTGAGATGAGGAGATAATCCTGGATTATCCAGATGGGTAATAATGCCATTACAAGTGTTTTTATAAGAGTGGTAGAGGAAGATATGACACATAG